GGGACCCAACTTAGAGGACAAGACGAGGACACGCTGTTGGGTAAGCCAACCCAGATCCAAATCATTTGGCACTTAAATGGTCAATCGTGGACCCAACACCCCATAAGCTTCATTAATACAAAAAGGTTTAGAACTAGGATGTATTTATTTAATAACTTAATTAAGGCATGGGGAGCAGCATTGCTACTGCTAATCATATCTAACAAGCCAATGATTGAGGTAATTACCAACCTTGCTGCAGCCCGGGACCAGCTCCTGCAGAAGCTTCATCCGCGCATTTATTTTTTCCCTCCGCGCCTACAATAAATTAAAATATAATATAAAATATTACATACAATAAATTAATGGAATGTTTAGCAGCTAATCGAGCAGGATTACCCTCTCCGCCAAGCTGTGGCTATCGGTGGCTTGCCCTCGGCGAGCACGGACGTGAACGTAAGGGAGCTTGTCGCCGCTGGTGTTCTCCTCAGCGGCGGGCTTCGCCGCAGAGGTATTCTCCTCCGCGCTCTTGCTCTTCTTCGCGACGGCCTTCGCGTAACGAAAGAGAGATTAGGTAAGGAGGAAGGTTATCTTACCGGGATAGGAAACCCCAACGGGGTCGCCGGCTTACCTTGCTCTTCTCGCACTCCTTCCTCTTCGACGGCCGCCGAGGCTTCCCGGCGGGGGCCGGGAGGGTCGGCGGCGAATCGGAGTCCGGGGGCTCTGCCTTGAGTCCAGGCGAGAGACCCCCGCCGGAGCTCGACGCCGGGGAGTCGTCGGTGGCGAAGACCGAGAACCTGGCGGCGCGCTCCACGAAGGTGGAGGAGCAACCGAACGGGAGACGGAGAGTATCCGTCGCGGCGGAGGCGGGGGGCTCACCGGGCCCTGGATGGTGGAGGAGCTCCACGGCCTGGTTGGCGGGGAGGCCGAGGAGCGCAGTGAAGGAGCCGCCAGCCGCCGATGAGGCGTCGAAGCTCGGGTCGATGAGGCTCTGGATCTCCTCCTCGAAGCGAAGCGACTCGGCGATTTCCGGCGTGTAAGTGCCGGAATTCCCGGATCCAACGCCGGAGCTCCCCCTTGGCTCCATCAATCGCCTCCGAACAAAGCAGCTCACCACGAATCACAACCCAATTCGTCGATTCCCCCACAAAATACCTCCTGAAATCCCCAAACCGTGCCAATCGCTCAAGATCGTCGCCTCTGCTCTCCCGATCGAAGCCCTAAAGACGCTCTCGAAGCCATCGATGCCTCGAAATTCAAACGGGGGTTCGTTGGATGGGGGAATCACGGCGGAGCCGATCGAAGCGGGAAGAGGAAACGAAAGGGGAAGCGTTTAGTGAAGGCAATGGATCGTTATATAGAGCTCGCCCACATCTCTCTATCCTCCTTTACATTTTTTTCTTATATAGCGTATATATTTAATTTGTAGCGGTTTAAACCGTATTGCAGAAGAGGATGTGCTCACCGTCGAGTGAGAGAGATATCACACTCAGGAAGTTAGAAGCCGCGTGGTTTTTTCAAGGTAACCTCACCGGAGGTTCGGTGGGTAGCGGAAGGGGGAAACAGACGACGCCACACGAAGTCGCGTACCCAATGCCTTTGCCGTAGGGCCCCAGCGAGTACTCTACTGTGGTCGTCACGTATACGTACATTCTTACGCGGAGTAGTACGGGAGAGGGAATCGGGTACGGTATACAGAGATGTTGCAGGGACTCATCTCCATTAAAGAATGGAAAGGGGAAGATACGAAGAGAAGAATAGCCGACAGCTTTTCTTCCATCGAGGCCTCGACACGTTGTCCCCCGTGCACAGATATTAGCAATGTGACGCAAGAAGCTTCTGCGGACAAGTCGTCAGCCATTTCAAGTGCCTTTTCGAGTGCATTTCTCCTTTGTTATTTACGAGTAGAAAAATATTCTATGAATAATTGATGAATAAATATATTTTTTAAAAGATAAATGATGACTTAACGAACGTTATTACCTTGCTTTATTATTTTTCTAATTGATTAGTATCGTAGCCTTGATGCCATTGATCAGAAGTTAACACCGTTTAATCTTGACTCGGAGGCATAAAGTTATCCAGATGACCCTAATGATGATCTGATAAGGTAATTGACACAACATCGAGTATCCAAGATGATTTAGATGTAACTTTAAAAGAGTCCTTAACTTCCCGAAGTGATCCCGAGGTTAATCCGAGGTGGATTCTAGTCTCCTCGAGGGTCTTGCACGAAGGTCAACCTTGTGAGGGATTTTCCAACCCAACTTCTTCGATAGTCAAGTTAATATTATGGAGTTATGAGAGTGAAATGACTTGCAATGAGAGAGGTTTGACCCCAGAGTAAACGCTCGAGCGGGGGGGGGGGTCATTCATGATCATCACAATGCTCCATGTGGACAATTGGTTCGTATGATCCTCTACGGTTTGTCGTCCATAGAGAACGACAAAAAATGGGAAGTTGATCTGATCGATCACCCGAGGATCGCTGCCCATGATGACCAACGATGTTAGCTCGTAT